AAGAACGGTATGAAAAACGGACTTGTTGAAAAATAACTGGATAATTAAAATCGTATTAACTGTGTCGTTAAGATAATAAATAATAATATGTACTAGTCTCAGTAAACTTAAAGTTTAGAAATTTCACTAATTAGCCATTGTATCAATACAAAATGCATCTTTAAACTTTTCCGAATTTGATTTTAATTCTTATGTTTTGACAATGTGTATACTTATTTTTCATATTATTATACATAACCTCATAGGTCCTTAGACATAGGTACGGTATAAATCACTTTACTCAAATTGATTTTAGATTCTGAGTGAAACGATGAATGTATTGATTTTACAATGATGTGTGTTTTTTTTTTTATTTTTTTTTTATTTTTTTTTTATTTTTTTGTGTCTGTGTACACGATAAGTAGTCGAAATAATGCTTCGATTTTCGACTTCAGTATCTTGTTCGATTGGAAAGTGAATATCGTTGGTGCATTGGGGAGGTCAAAATTTAAATTTCCCAGTAGTTTTCAAGAGCGCCAAGAAAAACAAAAGAAAAATTCAGGAAAAACGCGAATTTTTACGCAAAATCGATTTTTCAGAAAATTGAATTTGGTTTTTGGTGTAACTTTAAAACAAATGACCGTAGGTACATGCAATTTTCACTGGTTGTTTATATTTGCATCTTCTATACACGATAACATTTTCAAAATATTTTGATTTATTTTGAACAGTTTAGGGACATTTTCATTTTTCGTTTTTTTTTAGTTTTTTTTCTAGAAATATCAATAAAATTTTATTTGTTGGTTGCGAAAGCTTGACAATTTAATAGAAAGCTCCTAATATATTGTTTCAAAGGCAGATGAAAAATATTAAAAATCCTTAGTCACAATTTTTTTTATAAGCATTTAAAGTTCAAAAATTGACAAAATATGGAAAAATCACGAAAATTAGCAAATTATTTTGAGTTAAGAATTCGTAAAAATTTTTCTTTTTAAATCTAAGATTTGAAAATCTAATACAAGATTACTCATAAGATTGTCTACCTTTATCAATAAAAAAATCTCTACCGGAAAGTCAAATTAAATTTTTATGAGCGTTTGAAATTCAAATTTTTACAACATTGGATATTCACTCGATTTCTCATGTGGCAATTTCCTTTTTTTGTTGTAATTAAAAAACGAATTACTGTAGATACATGGAAATTTCACTGAATGTTTATATTAGCATTTCCTATACACCATACAATTTTGAAAATATTTTGACTCTTTTTGAGCTGTTTACGGACATTTTCAGTTTTCAATTTTTTTAGTTTTTTTTTTCTATAAATATCAATTAAGTTTTATCTGTTGGGCCAAAAAGTGTAAAAATTTAATACAAGGCTCCTGATATATTGTTACAATATCAGTTGAAATATATTAAAAATACATAGGCACAATTTTTTTTTATAAGCATTTTAACATCGAATTTTGACAGAATTTTTCAAAATCTCGAAAATTATTAATCATCGTAATTAATAAATTATAAAATGTTCAGTTTTTATAGCTAAGGATTGAAAATTTAAAACAAGATTCCACGTAAGTAGTTAATTCTCTTACCGAAAAATCTAAAAAATATACAATCACAGTTTATTTTTATAGTCATTTTATGTTCAAATTTGGACGAAATTACATATTAAAAAACCTAGTTATTTTGTTGTGATTATATAATTTTATTCGTGGGTACCTACTTGAAACTTCTAAAGTGTACTATTATATATATATGATAGTATCAGGGTTTGTTGTTGGTGTATAACGTGTTATAAGTACCTAATGGATATTGTGATAATGTGATATGATTAATTTGGAATTTATTATAGGTCAATTTTTTTTTAATACCATAGATATGTATATAATTTGTCTTAACCTAGACTGACATACCGTCTTCGCTCAGAATCGTTTTTCTTATACAATGATATTGTATCATTGAATTCAAATTTAATAGCATCAATTATACAGTGACCCACTTGTAACCTACTGTACAGCAGAGCGACATCCACTTACCCACCTTTTTTATCTTTAATTTTCAATTTTAATTGCTAAATAATAAACGAATAATTTATAATAGTATAGATATTTATTACAGGAATAATAATTTAATTTATTTTATTTGTTTATTTAATGCCAATCGGAAATTCAAGAGATTTACAATACAAGTTAAACACAAAAAAAATATAGTAATAATAGTGATAAAGTAATCTTATAGAAAAAACCAATAGTAATAATAGAATTTTCTAGTCATAAAGTCAATCATTTAAAATTAAATGAACTAAAATGATTTTGAGAATGATGTCTGATTTGGTTAACCGTTGACCTATAAAATTAGCATCTGCCTAACTATGGCTAGGGGAGAGGATTAGCCACTCAATATACATTTATAGATCCAAATACTAAGTGAATTAAATAAATAGAGTTATATTTTAATTTTAACCCCTATTTCTTGGAAATAAAATTTATAATACTGACCAAATTTATATATTATTTATTTCTTAGGACCTTAATGGATGGAATATTTTGATCTAACTCATAATAAAAAATAATTTATTATTACATTATATATCAGCTGAACTTGTACTTGCAAACATATAGCTAACTTGTTTCTTGTGTTGATTATTTAAAGATGTTTTAAAATATGACAATCCACTAGTTTGGAAAGAATCACAATTAAATAATGCATATTGTTTAATGGTTATAGTGCTATACAATTTAGCATCTTTACCGGCATAAATAATAATGTACCATCAATAAAGTAAAAATTACAAATATAATGTCATAACTCATAACTATTAAGGTTGTAAACAAAAAAAATTAAATCCTTAAAAAATGAAATAAAAATAAAATTACCAACATATATTATATATGTAATTAAAATGGTTTTTATTTGAAAAATACGTTCAGGTTATCCATATTATACAAAATACTATAGTTATTACAATTTTAAATAAGCTTAATTTTTATAGATAAAGTATTAGTTAAAACGACATAAATATTAAAAGTTTTTAATTGGTGTATGACCTATGACCTATGAATACCTAATCTCGTTTCGTACAGTGTGGATAATAAAATAATTCCTTCATTAAAAAATATATTTGCCTAACTCAAAATATATATAATGTATATTGATTGATTCGATTAATATTTAATATTTTAGGCAATTGTAAACCAGCAAAATTAAACCAACTGATTAAAAAAAACCGGGTAAAATGTCTGTAAATCGCAACACAACGATCGGAAAGAATTCGGATATGAAATAATACGACTGGGCCGATAAATAAACACAGAATCAAGTGCTGATTTTAATTTATTTGTGCAATATAGATCCATGATATAATTTGAATTCCAATCCTACAAAAAATGTCAATAGCAAGGTCGATTATTAATCAAAAAAGAAACTCATAAAATTGTATTTAAAGATAACTTACACTAGAAAATATTAAACGTTATTCGAACAGGATTTTGACCGGTAAAATAAATAATTCTAAAATATAATACAATTGGGAAAATGTAAAAAATGCACACTAATATCCAAATAAAATTTCTATCATGCAATTTCCTCAAACTATGACAAAATATGTAAAGTTTAAACTTTGTATTTCATTTTACAATTTCTCAAAAATAATTAAAACTTTCCTAGAATTGTCTACTATAACTACATTATAGTTTTTGTAAATATTTTGATACTAGTCATAATATGTGTACAGAATAATTCACCGAGTATGCTCAACACCGATTTATTTTAAATATTAATTTATTCAAATTCTGATTTTTGGAATTATTGAGTACCATATTTTCAAATATTACATTTTATTTATTGGTAGTTGATGTGTGGAGATAATTTATTATTTACTTCTTTTTATCAAATGAGAACCGACTTTTTTTACTGTAAATCGTCAAGTGGATGATTTTTTTTAAATGTTAATATATTTTAACAAAATTCAATAAATCAGTATTTCATTCGATCATTAGTTTCTTAGTGATTTTAATATATACATTTCAGATAATAGGTCTCAGAAATGTACTCGTTTGAATTAAAATTTAAATAATTTCTGTATTTTTTTTAAAAAAGTCATTCACCGAACAATTTACGCAAAAAAGAGTAGTTCCAACAAAAAAAAAAAAAAAAAGAACCTTACATCCACAAGACAAATAAAAATAAGAATTTGAAAATTTGGTACTCGCGTCAACTTAATATTGCAAAATCAGAATTTGAATAACTTCATTACGAAAGAAAACAATTGGGAGTGAGCATGCTACCAAGTCCTTTTAAAATTTTTTTTCTAAAATGTAAGAATAAAATGATGTGCATAGTATGAATCCTGTACTACAATAGTATTTAATAATATATACATTGTAAAATCAGTATTAAGAATAAATAAAGAATAATAAATTATCCTATGTGATTATATAAGTTAAAAAACTGATATGATATAAAATAGAAGCCATGATATAATAATTATATAAATATAATAATTAATATTGAATTTATAAATCTATTTAATATATTAATATAACAATATTATGCACCAATAAATGGTATTCTGAGTGTTTAATTATATAAAGTCATTATCTAAGCAATAAAATAATAAACATATTATACAAATAGGTTAGGTTAGTATTAATAGGTACGTAATGGAATAAAATTTTTTTTATCCATTTCACATTTTTCTTTAAAATATTTTCTCACAAAGATTTACTGTCATCTCATTGAGAAATCTCGTGTGGAGGCTCACATTATTGCAGCGATGGTGAAATAATAATTATTTAACTGAAAACCAATTTAATAACATTATAATATACCTAAGACTATACAATTATTTTTTATAAATGATAAAAAAACATAGTATTAATATTTAAGATCAATTGTAATAATTGTACAACTTATAAATTCAAATTCGAATTTATTTAATTACTTAAACAAACAAGGAACGATACTATAATAATATTGGTTTCACTAGTTAGAATTGTTAACTTTCTTTCATAGATATTATGTTCTTATTACAGGATGATGTACACGATTCATACGATCTAACAACTGGACTTGGAGGTCATATTCAAAAGAAAATGTTTTGGATCTCAGTTATTTTATTGTTTGCCTTGAACGGTAAGTCGTTATATTTATCTATAAATCAATTTACGGTATTTATCCACACTCAAAATAACGGTTGAATTGAAAAATGTTATGTTTTAAATCATACATAATATTATGGTGGTAAAAAGTATTTTATCTTGAGAATTTATCGAGCAAATAAAGTTTATACCTATAAGATAATATGTAGTGTAATAAGTCCATATGGTATCCATGGTGTCATCAGAATTTAGAGGTGTTGAAAAACTTAAAAATGATTTATCTTATCCAGACATAACTATTTTAATCAATAGTCAATAATTTAACTTTAATACATCAATCTGAAAAATAAAAAAAATATATATTTTTTAGTGTTGAGATTTTATTTTCAAGTACATATTTTTAATTAATTATCCACTGACATAATACCGTTTTATATCAAATAGCTATGTAACAATAGACAAATTGGAGATATTGAGAAAAATACATAAATAAGTAAATAACACTGTTATTTTCGACTTAATAAACACAGGATATTCATTAACAAATATAAATGCATTTATAGTTCGTTATTATACCTACTAGACTACCAGAATTTACAATAATTAGTCTTCATAATTTGTGTTTTGAACTATTGATCATTTTTATAATAGTTTTATAAAATAATCTTCAAAAAAATGGTGTATTCTTATACTACATATTAATATAGATAAGTGGTATTTATAATTTAAAATAAAAAACAAAAATTTTTAATTTTTTTAATTTTGTTTCATAATTAATCATAATTATTTATTTATACCCCAGATATATATTAAAATAGGTAAGCACACTATTATTCCAAAAGTATTCAATTTAATTCATTTTATATTATGTTAACAAAAATTATTAGTTTTAACTTTAAGTAGGTATGATGTTTTATGTAGCTACATACATAATGTGCATTATTTAATACAAAATATTACACTACATAAGTAAACTGACAAACGTTTGGTTTTGTTTATTTTGCTTGAGTCAAAAGTTAGATGTTTGACTTTTGTCTTCTTTTTAAAAGTTGTAAAAATTTCCAAACAATATCATTAATTTAAATTAATGTCAAAATTGTTTTTGAGCATATGTTGTCATTGTAATAAATTATTCAAAACGAAAACCATTAAAATAAGTTATGGCCTTATACAAGACTCTAAGATTTAATTTACAGTTTTTAAATATAATAATCTTAGTTCAAGTTCATCAAAAGAATGAAATATTCAACGTAAGTGCAGCTATTTAAAAAAATATAATATACTATAGCACACACCTCGTATTATTAAATCATTAAATATATATTTATTATACAAACATTTCTCAAACTAATGATGACAAAACTATTCTTAAATAATGTATAACAATAGCAAAATAAAACCTAGATAATATTATTAGGTATGATTTTTAATGTAATCATTTATTTGAAACATTGTTTTCCTGTATATACGTTTTTAATTCGGGTCATTATACTTGATTTTTCAGCGCTATATTTATTCTCTTTAGATTGTGGTCTAAATCTCGCGGTTGCATGGTTACGTGTTACAATTATAGTATATTTTTATATATTTAAGCAACAACTTTTATGGAGTAATTTTGATTCCAAATAGACTCCAATAGCAAACAGAAATAATGTGATGAAATAACATGTTTTAATGGTGTATGGCTGACTTATATAATTTGTCGAGGGGGTAGTAAAATTCAGCGAAGCTTATGTGCGTTATGAAGGTAATAAAATATTCGACAATCGTTAAACCGCCGTAAGTCGTTAAAGTTGTTTGAAGAGTGTTTTGGAGATACTAAATCCTCTTTTAAAAATCATTTGATGAATTGTGACCGACTTAAGTTTGAATAATAACATAACTTGTGGGTGGAAAACGGTCCAATAACAGCAATAAAAATGACTAATTTTCTGAGAAATTCTTTTGAAAATATTTTTTTTTGAGTATTCGATAAACTACGATGAAGTATAATGATATCTCTTGTAAACAAATGTTTCAAAGTTTCTGTATATGACTTATGAACACCAATCTATAAACAATGGCCTTTGAAATTTGAAGTTAAGGTCAAATTTCATTATTCCGCTTGTTTCTGCATGCCTATTAATTTGGTTGATTAGTAAGCGTTATGATTCAAATAGTATATAAGTTATGCACAATCATATTATTATAAGAATATAAAATCATATATGTAGTATGATCACGATATTAATTATTAGGTACCACTGAATATGATCAGATGGGTGTCTTTGTATTGAAATGGGGTTTTCAGGAGGTGACAGGGAGCACTTAAATACATATTTTCAGACCAGTTTAACATTTTTAGCTCACTCGTACCGATTTTCAAAACTAACCAAGTTAGAGTATATCATTAAACACGAAATATCCATAAATCCAATTTTTGATTTACTCTAACTTGATTAGTTTTGAAAATAGAAAAAAACTTTTTTTACAATAAATGTTTAAAAAAAATACACTACCCGAATCTGTAGAAAAAAACTGGGGTTGCCATTTAAAAAAAAGTAAGTCGTATATTGCGCATGCGAGTACCGGTGAGCTAAAAATTTGAAACTAGTCTGAAAGTATGTATTTAAGTGCTCCCTATCACCTCCTGAAAACCCAATTTCAATATAAAGTCACCCATCTGAGATATTCAGTGGTAACTAATATCGTGATCATACTGTATAATTTATTACTTATTTTGTTAAAAAAGATTTGAACAACAAGTTTTGGATTTAAAAGTTTTTTTTAACAAAATTAAGTGTGCTTATAGAAATAACAAAGTGAGAGATTACATGGTCATGTGCTAATAAAATAATGGATAAAATATGTAGTTACTATAAATGCGCTCTCTATAAACGAACACAATGATAAGCCAATTTCTCAAATTTCTTTTTCAATACTGAAACCTGTACCGTAGTGCACACTTATTCAATCGTTAAATTCGACAGTAAAAGTAGTTAATATTATACAATTTCGTCGAAGTTAATTATTATTTATACGTAAAAAAGGTCTAGATAGAATAAATGTTTGTATCACACAAATATAATTTAATATTATATACCTACTCAACAAATACAATAATAGCTATTAGGTGTAATCCATGTTTATTTGCCCTGCAACGTGTCATTTTTAAGGAGCTGTGCTTGGCAATTCTTTTGTTCCTTTGCGGTTATTGCTTGGCTTTGATTTTTTAGTAAATGATAATTAGGGTGTGTGTATACCCCCCACCAATCACCTGCATCAAATATATTACGCACGTGAACACGAATATGCACATGCTATTTCTGTCATTAAATAAAAATAATCAAAGCCAAATATTGACGTGAAATATCTAAATGCCTATACGTGCCTGACTAAAATGTAAGTACTTCTAATGGTTTGATTAAAAAAAGCGGAAAGATGTTTAAATTAATAAACAAGATTTCTTTGGATCGCTCCGAACACTTTTTCAATTTTAGCAAACTCTTAAAGAGAAACATTTTAAATTTGATAAATTTTGATATTAAATATACTAAAAACTATTAAAAATTATTAAAAACATCTAATATAATATGCTCCAACCGATGCAAAGTAAACTTATGAACCAAATTAAAAAATCTTTGCATTTTTTTAAATTGAACCACTAGAAGTAGGTACTTACCTAAATTGTTATTGTCAATCGTTTTGATGACAAATTGATAGGGATTGCAGGGGCCTTGATGTTTTCAACATATAATTATATAAATGCAAAACATTATATTATATTTGTTATTATTTATTTATTTCAATGAGATATTTTCAATTTCATTCGATTTTCGATGCTCGGAAGTTTTATTAGATAAGCATAGGGTACGGAATCGTGGATGACAGCCGTATGAGTGAGGAGTTAGAAATTCCGATGAGTGCTCTTGTTTAAAGAATGTAATGTTTCCGTGTGTGATGCTTATAAAGTTTTAGAGTTGACCATAACCGAGCGTTCATTTAATTTCCTTGAATTCGATTGGATATGCTCGATGATGTTCTTTTTTATGTATTTTTTTGTCATTTGTTGTGGTTTCCATGAATATGCCAGTTAAATATGAGTCAGCTTCTTTGTTGAATCGCCTTTAGAAGTGGCTGGTTTATCAAATGTATCGACCTATAATTTTGCTGAGGACCAGTTCAATAGTAGATGAATAAAACCGAAAAACATCGATACTCAGAAGTTTTCCTATCTAAGCGCGACCTGCAGGTCATTAATTACGTATCATAAAAGTCAATCGAGTGGTTGTGTTATCCGATTCGTGATAAAAAAAAAAAAGAAAATAACCAAATATTTTATTCAATCGAGATGGTATTCGAGCTTATTGTGATGTCACACTTTCCCGTCTGTGGTTGCAGGGAGGGGAGGCGTATCGATCCAAAAAATACCTCAATGCGTTGTTGTTGTTGAGTAGGTATTTATAATACAATACGACATATTATCTTTATAATATTATTTTATGTAAAATCAATCAATTATTATTTTCTTGTGCCACCGCTTAATATTGTAAGTGAAAATCGGGCGCCACGTCGATGTCGAAAGACTGTGCTACGACGGTGACGATGAGTGTATAGTAAGCAAATCGTTTGGCGACCATCGACGAATTTCTCTCACTGTCCGTCCACCACAATTCCCTATCGTCGTATTTCGGTACCTATAGCATAATATTTTCATTGCCCACGTGTATGATTAAATATTTGACGTGTATATGTACATAGTATAAGTATACGTCACATAGGCTCGGTTTCTCCGTCTCGTCGGCTACGTTCGTCTGTATTATGGGTACATTGAGATTAAAGCGATTTTGTGGGAAATTTCGTCGGAAAGTTTCAAGAAGCCGATTTCTCTTCCCCCTCCCTACTATACTCGCATGCACCCTGGCTGTTCTATAATTTACCCCGAAAGAGTGCAACACCATCGCGGGCGCGGGCATGTGTGTGTATGTGTGTCTGTGTGTCTGTGTGTATGTGTGAACGATTTCGCTGTTGAGCGAGCGAGGGCTGTGTACTTGT